GGCCAACGCATCACTCGACTATTCGACGAGTCTGCCACATAGATGGTACCCAATGTATCGACGAACAGCCCTTGAGGATTCGACAATTGTGTCAGAGCATTCCCTTTCCATTGACCTCCAGCGACGACAATTCCTTCTTTTGCACCTTTATTCCATTTCATTACACGATGATTGTTGTTGTCTGACACGTAGACAGTCTGTTGTTGATCGACAAAGAGGTAGGTCGGATAGTTGAGTTGATTGAGACCAGCACCTTCGCCATTGCCACCAGCCACCAGCCACAAGAGTTCCATTCTTGTCTCCTATTTGATATCGTCTTACTTCATATTTGTCGGTGTCAGAGATGTAGAGATATCTCTGATCATCCATGGCCAATCCCCAACAACGGATGTTGTCAATGAGGATTTCTCCTTGAGTTGTACCACTACGACGAGACCATCGTACGACTCGTCGACTCACGTAATCACAAATAATGAGACTATCCGTCTCTTTGTCAATCAACACATCGGTTGGATGATACAATTGATCCAATCGATTTCCTTCGCCATTGCCACCAGCTACAACTTGTCCATTCGTATCACCCATCTTCCATTGGATGATACGATGATTGTAGCAGTCAGCGATGACTATCGTTTGATCATCATCAACGAAGAGACCTTCAGGTCCGTTGAGTTGATGAGTGGCACTGCCTTTTCCATGACCTCCAGCAACAGTGACTCCATTCTGTTTCCATCGGACATCGACTGGAATATTAGGAATTACTACAATGAACAAAAAAAAAAGATATCGTCGTTGTCGAAGGGATTCCGTCTCTCGTGGAAGCAAGCGCTACAAATACGACATTTATCTTTGAGAATGCTCATTCCACAGATAAAAATTCAGAAGTCTTTTCCTAGTTTCTTATGAGAAAAAAAGGATTTGGTAACGATTCTTACATCTATGTTACTTCTAGTTCTTGCCAAGATCTTTTCGATCATAAAAATAACACCTTGAGATTGCTGTAAGGAGGTTCTCCAAGAAAGAGTAATACTAATTCCATGTAAGTTTTTCATAGAAAAACATAGAGATCTGAGGATTTTTTTCAGAATTACAAGAATTCGGAATCTTTTTGGCAGAATGATCATTTATATGAACATCAGAGAAGATTCTATCTGTATCTTGTGAGAAAAATATCGAATCGTTGAACAACAAAATATCAAATCTAATCTCTGTTTTTTAGGAAACCTTAAGGATACATGATTTTCTGTATGATGAATGTAGATCTGCCGAAGAATCTCCTAAGTATTTGCATAGACTTTTGATAAGTTATATGAAGCTGTTCGAAGAACAACCGTGATGTACTCTGAGTAAGATCATGAGAAGGTTTGGATACAGGCGAAATTGAACAAAGTTGAGAGGATTCCATGCGAATCTATTTAATCTGAGGGGACTTCTTCTTTTACAAATGTTGAAAAGATGGATGCCAATTCTAGCGGAGCTCTCCAGTAACAAACATTGGGATTTATGGATTTTATAGGCTTTGAAAATCTAAAAATAATGAGTATCTTCTATGAGGATCATGCTATAATCCTTATGTAGTACTTGTTCTGAGAAGTCTTATGTAAGCTCGCATGTTATGGGTATGTTCAGGAGGATCTGAAGAGTAAGCATTTTGAAATGGTTGATATCAGAGTGAAAATGCAGTAGGAACAGTACAGAATGGAGGTGCCTATCTTTGAATTTTATGAGAAAGTTTATAAAGCAATAAATTAATGTGCTACTATTTGATATCAATCGTAGATTCACTTATGTCCAAAAACTTATGTGTATTTAACCCTCGGATGCCCAAGCTAATTTTTGGAGATAATATGATAATATGTATTCATATTTCTATGATTTTGATTGCTGGACTGGTATTCTTGCCCAAATTAGATTGTTTTCCTCTTCAGTCTTGTAAAGTAATTATTAGAATTATAGTTTTCCTTTATTTAGAACAGTAAATACAAAAAATTCTCTGAACAAAGTGCTCATCACAAACCGATTCTGGGAGGGTTTTCACTGAATTCTTCTGAACATAATGGATATCATAGGCACAAGGGCGGATATATATAATAGAAATCTCGAGACAATAATAATCTTCTCGAAGATTCTGGACAACAATATTGAAAATAGAGTAGATGCGATGCCATGCACAAAAAGAATGCAAGAGAGAAGAGATATGCATGAGATGTAAAGTAGACGGGAAAGAAAAAAGAGACAGTGAAAATAGATGCATTTTTTAAAGATTTTGTCAGATTCAGAATAAAAGATGTCATTGGAAATCTTATTAGATTCTGAGATTAAGAAATATATAAGAACAGAGTAAAGGACTCTGATCTGATTTTATCTGACTAAATAGGATTCATAAACAAAAGAAAGTTATAGCATTACATAATCCAAGTCTTGTCTGCTCTTATTTGATTCTGTGTGATCTATCATGTTCTTTTACTTATTTGAGAATTGCTGATTCAATAGCTTCTGTTATAGAGAAATGTACAAAATACACAATGTTGTGTTATGAAAGTCGATGTTTTCTATTATTGTAATCGTAAAATCATTTTTGACTTCACAAATGCTTTGTATAATAGATTAGTCAAGGTACAGTTGTATCTCGGAAATTTTCACATAGTAGAGAACGTTTTTCTTCACAAAATATTTCGACAGAAAAAATATCGATGTCCAAATTTTTCTAAAACTATCACAAGATGAAAAATTAAATTTTTCTCTATTATCCTCTACTATACGCTGGAACATATATTTTTATTCTTAGTTTTCTATACTGATATTGATAATATAGGAAGCTTGTTAGCGTAGCCCCTTTGGGGCTGAAATGTGAAACTCACATATGTTCTCTAGCCTCATTAAACTAATATAAAATATGTAAAGTGAAAAATCTTTTGTAGACTATAGTTATTTTGTAGGATAATCGAACATCAGAGTAAGAGTGTTTCTAATTTCTGCATTTCGATCAGAAACTTTCTTTTTCTACGGGCACCCTATTTTTTATTTTGCATTGTTACTATTCATTCCTTATTATCCATTTTTTAAATTCGTTTTTTCTAAATTTAACATTCTTATTATTATAATCATTGAATTAATTGGTAAATACATTTGTTTTACATATCCATTATATCTATAGCAGATCTTATGCACTATCATATATATATATGTTAAGTAACTTAGAAACAATGATGTTGATTATCTTTCAAAATTATAACTTCATCAACTTTGCAAAAAAACTATAGAAAGTCTGACCCCTGTTATCCTCAATTGCTAAGATCCGTAATGAGGAGTTGTCTGTAATAGAGATGACGGTAGAGGGAGGGAAGGGAAGCCGCAAAAATTCGACTTAAAACTTACACTCACTATTTTCTTTAAAAATATGTAAGTTCCCCAAAACCAGTGATATAGATGTATTTCAAACTCGACGTCCAATGATTCTAATGAGTGACGACACTGAGTCTAAACTCTTCTCATTAAAGAGAGTCATAGATTTATAAAAAATATCTATTGACATATGATTGTTTTCGTAAAAGTCAAAATACAATTCTTATTTTGAGTAGATATCGATACCTATTCGCTAGTTACATAATCTTCCTCTAAAATTTGTGATTGAATTACTTTGTCTGTCACCTGATCTATATAAATAGTATAGAATGTATAAAGTGTAATTGGAATATAGAGCTTCATATAAAACAAACAAGTCAAAAAAAAATTGTTTAACTTCATTAAAATCAGAAATGAAATGAATGGAATAGGTCTTTTTCTTTTTACCATGTTCAACCATTTCAATTCATTTTCATTCCAATTATCAATAGGCCAATTCAATAAAATTATGTTTATAAGATATAATATGATATGTGACTATGTTTGCGATAATGATCAAATTTCATACGATTTCATGTACGTATAGTTTGCGCTTGTTGAACAGATGACTATGCTTACGCTAATGTCTCATAGAGAGTAAATGCAAATTAATCATCTCATCAGTGCAAAAAATTAAAAGAAATTACATGACAATGAAGAAATGAACATTTTGATGAATTAAATACCATAATTATATTTTTGATTTAGAAGTCATGAACATGATGAAATTTTGTTGATTATCGAACTCCATGTTCAACCAAATCATAATTTTCCAGTGAACTTTGTCAATAAGATGAAATCCTGGCATTCTAATTTTCAAACTAAATTTTCACATGATTTGTCTAAGCTATTAGGATAGACACGCAAAGAAATGAAAACTCCTTTCTGATTCTGAATATCTGTTTGCTATCGATAAATTTTGAGATGAACAAGTTAACATGTCAGGATGAATTTTTTTTAGACTTCAACTATGCAAAGAGCTTTATTGTTGTACTTGATACCTATAGAACCTTGGCTATGTAAAGATGACATTTGAAACAAATATTTCAGTTCTAATCACAAATGAATTCAGTCCGAGAATCGTAACTTGCTTCCGAACATGGAACGTTGTGTAACCTAAAAGATGGTATAGATTCTCTCTTGCAATAGTATACTAACAACATCATCAGATTCTGCATGACTAAGACGGTAGATACTGTAAAGACAAAAAAAGGCATTTACACACTTCAATATGTATACACCAAAAATGATTTGATAAGTCATCAAGAACGCATTAATCATTGTTTAATACAAATCGATTTTAAACACATATCTGTTTACACTTATTTTTGATGACTAATCAATCAATTTTCACCATTTTTATATTGACTCCTTAAAATTAGTTAGTACATGAAAAGTTCTAGTCATTTTCAAGTTACAGTTAATTTTTATTAGACTATGGATAGTTTTCTTTTCATTTATTCTATCGGATCTTTTTTATCTCTCTATCATGACCTATCTCATTGCAATACGCTAAAAATATTCACTGGTAGTCTTCATTTATATAATTGTCCAATGTTTTATTTCATCTTTAGTGATAAATTGATTTTTATTTGAATAAGTTCTCGAGTATCGAAATCGAACGGTAAGATTTAATTGTAAGTGACAACCATATGTTAGGCAGTTCTCAGAATAATCATAAGTTCTGAATCGATATGGACAATGACTAAGTCTCATATTTCTGTGAATATTACTATCAATTTTCATCGAGAATGACAGTGTTTCTTTTATAATTCATCGATCTGTTGCTGGTT